GCAGCATTGCAAGCATGCTGCAGTAAACTCTGTAATATCGTCCTGTACTGCGTCATCATGTCTGAACATCAGCTGTCGCTCTCGAAGCGTCACGGCTAAACTCCGCTGAGAAGCTGTTTGTTTCTTGTGATGAAATCTTTATGAAGCTGAATGTGTTCGTACTGAAGCAGCAGCAGCGGAGCCACGTTGTTGATGGCTGCGTGTCAGCACAGGTTTCTTTCAGTCTATTGTGCAGCAGCTTTGATCTCAGTGCTGGGAAACAGAAAGGAATCAAAGAGCAGCTTCATAATTGCAAACTCTGAACATGTCAGATCTGGTTACAGCTTGTGCGTGCACCGTTTTGCTCGTAAAACCTTTAATTTCTTCTCCCCGCCCCCTCCCCTACAGGCGCTGATCTGTTCTCCAACTGCACAGACGAGTGTAAGGCTTTGGGCCATTCTGATCGCTGCTGGATGCCGAGCTTCGTGCCCTCTGACGGGCGCCAGGGTCCCGACTACAGGAGCAACCTCCATGTGCCCGGCATGGACTCGGTCCCCGACACAGAGGTATTTGAAAGCCCAGAGCAAACGGCCGATAGATCATTCTCCACCTTTGGCAAAGAGGCGCCTCTCAGTTCCCAACACCTCCACCAGCACCTCAGCCACCACCACGGCTCCTTAGAGAGGAAAGAGTTGGAAGCATTTCTGCCTAGCTCCAGAGCACCTTATAACCCGGCTTATTTAAGTGAGTATTGTGTTTTGCTCTGGCTGCCTTGGAGCCTGCCCGGCTCTGATCTGCTGATCAAATTAGCAGAAAAAGAAACGATTGGAAATTGAATTTTCTTCCTGGATTGGCTCGTGGAAGCTAGCGTGAAATTCATTTTAGATTTGACCGCTGTTCTCTCAGCCCTCTGTCAGAGTGTTTAACTAACTCTTCCCTCTTTCTCAAGCATCTCCATTATCTCCGTCTGTGACCATCTTATCTGCACACACACATGCAGCGCTGTGGTCTTTGGGCCCTTTCAAATAATAAATGCCAAAAGCAGTTATGATCTATAAGGTTGCTTTGATGTGGGTGGAGACGTTAGCGTTATGGGAAGCGAGACACCGGCCCTCTCACGAACAGCTGACAAACGACTGTTTTTAACCAGAGAGAAGAAGAAGGACAGACGTGGAGCTGAGCGTCTCATTCGTATTCGGCCGACGTCAGCTGGTTGATCAAAAACCGGTTTCATATAATTAAAGAGAAAATAAAGCAGGAAAAGGCCCATTTTTCTAAAGTGCTATTCAGAGGCCACAAACAGATCTGTCCTCAATCACTGAAATTTGGTGATAATGCTTAATTATAATTTTGTCAAGCGGCGCCTGAAGAGGCGCCTCTCTCATCATCCGGCACAGCTAGCTGGAATTATCAGAGACCCGCTGCTTTCCTCGTGCCATCATTTAAAACCACAGCACGCTGTGGGAGCAGCAGGAAAAAGGCCTTCTCCCTGTAATTAATATTTTATTCATTGGCTGCGTTTGTCTGCTTTTCCTCGTTCTGCAACAAAAGTTGTTCGATGTGAAGCAACCCACTGCTCACATTAGAGCGCTGTCGTCGCTGTGAAAGGCCGCGTGCAGTGTTTGCACACAGGATGGGGTCAGAGGGCAGTACAGCACGAGGACAAATACATGAACAGATGCTTGTATTTATAGCAATGATGTAGTTATGATTATGGACCATTACAGCAGCAGTGTGTGAAATAATAAAGCAGTAATATGAAGGTAAAAGTTGCCTTTCAGCGGTTTTTCTGCTGCAACTTGAAATGATTTGAACAAAGACAGTCGATGTGCGTCCGCTGTAAGCTGCACAGCGATTAGCTGCTCTGTCCTCGCTGTTGGTTCAACACTGAGGCGCACGGGAAGTTGTTGGAAGTTGTTTTGTCCTGTGTGTTTGTTTGGGGGGTGGGGGGAGCTCTCTAATCTCATTAAGTCAGCCAGTGATACACAAAGACCCTTTTGTCCCGGGAGGTGCAGGCCTGGGTGTGGTGTGCAGGGGGGGAGCACCTTTTGTTGGTGTCCTAAATAAACTGGCAGGATTCACTCTTCCCCCCAGTGCCAACATTCCCACAACCCCCTCCCCCCACACACACACACATGTTATCTATCAGCATTTAGCTGACACGCCGGTGACTCTGTGTGAGTGAGGCCGTGTCACTGCTGCTCTGCACGCACACAGATACCGACACACAACTAACCGGCTTCTGTGTTTTCTGTGCTTGCAGCGAGGAAAAGGCTTTGCTAGCTCCTTCCGCGTGGACGTACCAGAGACTGCGTGAGTTTGCACAATTTCATCGTGACGACCAAGGGTGTAAAGTTTTCAGCCCATTTTGTCCTCCACTGCCCTCATCCCTCCTCGCTCAGCAAAAACACAAAAAGAAGAAAATTTTACATGACTGCAAACAAAACGAAGAAGAAAGAAACACAAAGGAACAAAACACTCGGAGCGCTGCCGGGTTTGACAGAGACGGTGGGGAGGCTGCGGGGAAGGAACACAGGTGGAGGAATCGCCTTACTGGAGATGGCCGTTGTCTCAGCAGGACTGAGAAGCTCGCAGAGGACGAACGATGGCGACCCCCGTCACTGATCCCTTCATCTTTTTCCACTCTATGTGTGCCTGTTTACAGCACTGATGTATACATCTGTGAGGATAATGAAGCCAGATGAAGACTGCAGATGAACTACGGAAGGCAAACCCAACTGAGAGCCACCCAGAAAAACCACCACTCAGCCCTTTAGGCGTCAGAGAGAGACGCCAAGTTGTACAGGAGAATCTTTGTGCATTTCAGATGCAATACCACTGTTTTAGATTTTTCTATTCTTTTTGTGTGGTCAGGTCAAACTTTGTAAGAAAAGACTGTGGGCAGATTTTCAGTTTTTTTATTTATTTTTTTATTTATCCGTTTGGTTTCGGTTCAGCAGCCACACGGCGGGCTCAGACCCAGTCGGCCCACGTTGTTCTGATGCGTCAAGTAGTTTCTGTCACGTGTGAGAAGTGTTTATTGTACTCTTTTAAAAGTTTGACGCTGAATATAAACCTCTCTATATAAATCTATCTATATCTTCTTGTTCTGAAGGTGTGCTGCTTGTCGGCTGGTTTCTGATTCAGAGCTTTGATCTGTTTGCTGCCCCTGAACAAGGTCGCCGGTGTTTTCACAGCCGGAGACGTAAAAAGAGACAGAACAGCCTTAGCAGATGTAAAACTCGACTTCTTATTGTTTGACATCATTTCATTATTTTTTCCACTTCAAGGTATTAATAAAGAGCATATCTATAAGTAAAATGGAGGTAATAATTTAGACTGAATCCATGGTAATTCTGTGTCATTGTAACCAAAACTTTTAAGGGTCCATTTGTAAAGGAGTGCGACAAAAACACCATCAAATGCAAAGAGTGATGTACACGGTGCAGTCCAGTTTCTCTCTCACACACTGCAGACACAGACACACTAATATGGCGACAATAAATGACAAAAATGGTAAAAACGCCGTCTGCGTTTGTTTTCGTGTGTCCTTGTTGTGAATGTGAACGCTGCTTTCTGCTCATTCCATGCATCATTTGATGCCTAATTAAAATACAGTATCAGGTAAGGCAGACCTGCCAAAGTAAATAAGGGAGATAAAGCTGCGTTTATTCAAATGATCTCAAATGAATGTAAGTCCGTTTATCCTCGGGCCGAAGGATTCCTCTTCAGGAGGATCTCTGCGACCAGGAAGCAAATTCTAAATACAAAGGAACATTATTACGATTACATCCAGTGCTCCCTCACTGTAACCGCGCTGTTTCATTTTGGTGCAATGTTTTATTTTTCAGCGTATTGTGTTCTGCGTCCCGATTGGCTGTAGACCATCTCGTGCCGTGTCTCCTGTACAGGACAGAGTGCGTTCAGCTCGTCACATTTACATAAATCTTCGATCGCTAGCAGTGTGACTCTGAATTATTATGATGAGTGAAAAGGAAACATTTACGTCAAACTTTACTCATCTCGTTCTTCTTGCTTCCTTTACTTCAGCACCATTGATTCATTAATGATTCCTTGATGTTGGATTCTCTCACAGCTGCTCTATCCTGTGTCCTGGACCTGAAAACAGGGTTTGATCTTTGGTTTCATTCTATAATACGGGACTTATTTTTCTAAGGTTTGAACTTTGAGAGTTTAAACAAGAGAGAAAAGTGTGAAAATGTTCCTGCCTGTCTGAGAATAGAGTATAAAGTGTGCAGTGAGGGGTTTTACAGCCTCAAACATCTATAATAATTGTAAAAAATAAAGCTGGTTACTTCGCAGATTTCAGCTATCGCGGGTTATTTTTGGATCGTAACTCCGGCGATAAACAAGGGGCCGCTGTGTTATAATTAAAATGATAAGTATGTGTGTTTTATGTCAGTTTGCATTTAAATGTTCCAACAGCTTATATTTAAATTATCACTGAGATAATTTTCAATGTGGAGACGAGTGAAGTGTTTTTGTTTTTCTGCACAGTTGCTACAAATTTTAATATGAGACAAAACTGAACGAATGCAAAAGGCAGCAGCCAAACCCACCTGACATAATAAGGTGTGTGTGTGTTTAGCATTCTGTAAAGAACATGCTACCTCTCATTAACTCTAATTATCAACGATGAAATGAATGTGTACAGCTGTGAGGCAGATTGACGAATGAGTTTGGGGTCAGACTGAAGCTGTTTGGCAGATGATGCCACAGTGCCCTGCAGAAGGTGGCGGTTTATCACAGACCTGTCGTTTGGTTACACGGTGGAGCTTTTTTAAAGCTTCAAGCAGGAGGTTTAAGAGCCCGTTCAGGTAAAACACTTTGGACCGAGCTCAGTGACCAAAGCTTTCCAGCTCTAATCTAAGCACAAACCAGCACTCAGGATTACTTTACCAAACACACAATGACAGGTGAACGTGAGCTCGATGCAGTATTTTTAGTTTTTGAAAGAAAAAACATCAGCTTTATTGTCCTTCGTTGTCATATCCGCTCATTTTTAATCCACTTGTTTCTTTTCAGCTCTGCAGATTTAGAGATCTCGCTGCATGTTTTCATCAGACTGAAGGAGATGTTGAAGCTGTAATCCAAGGTAGATTATAGTATTTACAGATGGTGATGAACCAATAACAAGGTAGACATCAGACTAAATAATTTGCAGGCTTAATCTTCCAGCACAAACTGACTATTCATTGATTTGTTCATCTGCCATCAAAAAAAGAAGAATCTTTGTTGGTGCAAACTACAGGGTGGGCCATTTCTATGGATACAGCGTAACAACATGGGAATGGTTACGTTGAAACCAAGCACACCATTGTTGTTCTTGTGACATTACCAATAAGTCTGATGTGTCACATGACCCTCTTCCTATTGAAAAAACAAAAGTTGTATCCAAGATGGCCGACTTCTAAATGGCCACCATGGTCACCGCCCATCTTGAGGAGTTTGCCCCTCACATATACTAATGTGCCACAAACAGGACTTTAACATCACCAACCATTCCCATGTTATTACTCTGTATCCATAGAAACGGCCCACCCTGTACAAATATTCCAAGCAAACAGGGTAAATACGACAGAAACGTCTCACTTTGTAGGCTTCAGAATGAGAAGTGAAAAATAGGACGACAAATAGCGAGTTGGCTGAGTGTGAAGCACTGACCCCGGGCCTTTTGTTGCTGCGTAATGAGGGCAGAGCTATCAGAGCAGCGCCATTTAGATTGAGGACAATAGTTGAAGGAAGAGCAAGTTCAGTATAATCATATCTATTTTCTTGTTAAATGGAAGCTATTATTTTTGACCTCCACTCGACGCTAATCTCTGTCACAAACCAAAAAGTTTTAATTTCCATGTGCGTTTGTGCACACTCGGCTCCAAATGAGAAAAACCATTAGAGTATAATGAAAGATAAATTAAGAACAAAAAGGAAAGGCTTACAATTCCCCAAACAAATGGGAGGATTCGAGGAGAGGCAGACGGTAAAATAAAGACGCCGTCGTCTCTCCTTCTATTTCCGGTTGGGCGGTGGGTGCGGGTGAGGAGGTAATTGCATAGCAAGTTTCAAAGTCACTGGCTTCACAAAGGCAAAGCGGATTAGAAGCCAACACTGAACTTTTTGTGTCAGAGCTCTCCTCTATTGCAGATGCTGCCGGACATCAGAAGACGAGTCGTCACAGTGAGTCGGGGCTTGAATTCCCTGCTGAGGAGCACGGGTGGAAATAGAAGCACAGGCGGGTGGATGGTCTGTGTGAAGGTTGATTAGAGGCTCTTCAGATGTGGCTGAATGAATGATAGACTTTGGAAAAATCACATAATAAGAGATTTTGGCAGCTAAAGAGCTTTGCTCCTACTTTAGGCTCCACGCCCTTGGATATTAAGCAACCAATCAGGTGACAGTAGGCGCGCTCCAAGTGCATTCGCCTCATAGCTGCTCATAGCCTTCATCACGTTACTGTTACCAAGGGGTTCTGTTTACGTGAGTTGAGCATTACAAAGTGTCGGCCTTACGTTGGCTGGAGCAGCTCTACTGATAGTTCCTAACATCAGCTCGTGGGTTCAGGCTTGGTTGTGTTTAGGTGTGGCTGCTGTGTGCGTGGCTGCTGTGTGCGTGGCTGCTGTGTGCGTGGCTGCTGTGTGCGTGGCTGCACTGAACTGGACCTGCCAGCAGTGTTTGTGACTTTTGGAGCATTTATTTGTTCTTTGGTCCTTTTACACAGTACAAGAGGGGATTAAAGGCACTAGAGTTGGCGACCTTTTGGTTAGCATGAATAAATCAAGGATGCTATTTCTGCACGATTTCACCAATAACAATAACACAGTTTGACCTCAGTCCAGCAGTTATCACTAACACTAGCACGCTGTTATAAACAGGCATTAACTGACAGAAGTTCTTCATTTGGAGTCCTCGTATTGATACTAATATTAGTGATTATTATATTTAGGGACTCATTATTATTGCAAAAAGTAGCTGGGAATGAAAGTCATGGAACAAGCCAATCACAATAGCTGCAGAGTGCACTGACATGGGGGTTACAGGTTACAGAGCTGGTCACAGAGGAGCCTAAAATAGAAACATACTGGAGGAAAAAAGGAGAGCACCATGACAAATGTGTCACTTTCTTCATCGTTGGGTTTCCTTTATTTTATTGTAGGTTTATAACCTGTTCAAAGAAAGTGTTTTGGTTTGGACGGACATGTCTTTGTAAAACTATCGACACACTGAATGACAGGTGCCTTTTACCTCAGTATGTGGAGGAAAAGTCTAATTATGTCACTTTACTGTCACTCCATATATTGCAGACATAAAATAAAACAAACCCAGCTTTACAGGTTGTTTGTATTACAATGAAAAATCTTAGAAATCAATCAAGGATTTTCCTTTTTTTGTGTTCTTGTAAATATTTTGTATTTTTTCTCTCAGTGGAGGATTTTTTGTTCTTAACTAAAAGCCTCACGTATTCTGTCATTGTTGATGTGGTCATAAAACAGGTTCTTTTAATCCACTTCCTCACTTGCTTTGTAAAGACTGTGACCACTTTGGTTCCATCATGAGAATAAAGTTAAATTGCCATTATAAGTAAAATTTTTGACGTATAGTTTAAGAAGTTCATTTAGCTCGGCTCTGGGAGAGCATCAGGACCAGGGTTTCTGACTATTATTGCAGCCTTATATGAATTAATTAAATTAACAGCAAGTTTTTTTCTAACTGAAAAATAAAGCGCCTCGAGGCGTCTGATGTTGTGATTTGGCGCTGTATAAATCAAACTGTTCACTGTGCTCAAGAGGCCTCAAGAGTTCAGGAGTTCGTCTTGTAATCAGAAGGTTGCCGGTTCGAGCCCCGGCTTGGACAGTCTCAGTCGTTGTGTCCTTGGGTGAGACACTTCACCTGTTGCCTACTGGTGGTGGCGCCAGTGTCCGACAGCCTCGCCTCAGTGCGCCCCAGGGCATCTACAATGTAGCTGCCATCACCAGTGTGTGAGTGGGTTGATGACTGGATGTGTAAAGCACTTTGGGGTCCTTAGGGACTAGTAAAGCGCTATATAAATAATGGCCATTTACCATTTACAAAGTGACAGTGTACACTGAGGTGTGATCAGTTGGTGTGTGGATCTGACCCCAGTGGATGAATTAAAGAGTCTGACAGCAGCAGAAGCAACGAGCTCCTGTAACGCTCCCTCAGACAGCCTGGTTGTAGGAACCTGTTGCTGAAACTGCTCTTCAGATTGTCCAGTGTATTATGGAGGGTGCGAGTCATTGTCCATGATTACCAGCAGTCTGTCACTGATCACCTCCTCCAGGGTGGAGAGCTTCATGCCAACAACAGCCTCGGCCCTCCTGATGGTCAGTCTGTTTGCGTCCTTTGCTTTGACGCCTGCACCCCAGCACGCCACAGCAAAGACGATGGTGCTGCCAACAACAGGCCGATAGAACATATGGAGCAGCTGCTGCAGACACTGAAGGATCTGAGCCTTCGTAGAAAG